GTACTAGCTAGCCTTTGTGTCTTGAATTCCCTAAGTAAACGGGGCACAGTCCCTACCCCACAGGGCTGTCACAGGCTGAAGCATCATCAGTGTTACCGAGGACTAGGAACTTACTGTGCTTCCTGCATTTTGCGGTGTTCAATCTGTGCAACTGTGCTACCAAGTGTTACTCCCATTCTTAGTGATCGGCCTGAGGAGGTTGGCACGCAGTGAGTGTGGGTGGGTGCCACCTCTTGTAGATGCTGGTTTTATGAAGGTGTCCCAGGTACAAATCAAGTTCCCCTGTGACAAAGCTGACCTAATGTAACAATCTACATACAAATGGAGGTGCTTTGTAATGCCACCAATCCTTCTTGCTTGCACTACTAAACTCATCTTTAAATTTTTATTTTTGTGCCCCTACTGAGACTTGAACTCAGGGCCTTGCACTCTTGCTTAAGCTTTTTCACTCAAGATTGGTGCTCTACCACTTGGGCCACATCTCCACTTAGTTTTTTTTGGCTGGTTAGTTGGAAATGTGTCTCTTGGATTGCCTGCGCAGGCTGGCTTTGAACCCCAATCTTCAGTTCTCAACCTGAGTAGCTAGGATTACAGATGTGAGCCACCAGCACCACCAGCCACAGGCTGATTTCTTAATCTTTAATGTTCACTTTATGCTTAAAATGCAATGGCTCAAGTGGAAGAGCATCTGAGCGCCTGCCTTGCAAACATGAGGCCCTGTGTTCACTCAACTCCCAGTGCCACACAAAAAAAGAAAACATGGATAATAAAAGCTTTTACAAGCCAGAGTTACAGTAGAGGATACTTGCACATGTTTAAAACCTCCATTTAGTAATACAGGCAAGCTTGACAGTCCTTGGATTGCTGACAAGACAAAGGCTTCCAGCTTAGTTCTCAAGGTTCTAAGATTTCCTGTTTCTGGAAAGTTCTCAAAGCCTTCAAGAGACACTGAGAAGACACCATACTGAACTACGACGGGACCTGCGTGGCACCCATGCGCATACCCCAGCCCGGCGGCCATCTACCAGGAGTCTAAGGCCACGTGGGTGTGGCACCCCTGCAGGGAGGCGGGGCTTCACAGTTCAGTTACTACACTCCTGTGGGCATAGTAATAGTGGGAAGGGGCCAGAGCACTAGACTGAAATTGAGGCCCTGCCTTCATGACCGTGTGTTTGAGGACTGTCAATCTCCCTGGCTACTGAACGCTCCACCAGTAAACCAAGAAGCTCTTATCACCCTTTACAGCTGTGGTAACTGAACGGCCTGAGGGGAAGTGCGAGGGAGAAAGCCCAGAGTACCATCCACGGCTGTAAGATACTCAAGACACCACGCTGGAAGAGGAGACTGCTCAGATCGCTTCCACAGCCATCTGCCTGCATTCTTAAAGGTTTTGGGTACAGGCTGACAATCTCCAATGCTTTCTCTTTTACATTTAATTTTCTCTAAATTAGGTCAGTAGAAAATTATTTGCTTGCTTGCACTGTCTTCTTCAACCACCAGGTGGCATTGCTTTCCAATGAGCAATTTCTTTCCGTGAGAGGCCTGCCCAGACCTTTTAAGTGCATCAAATTGAAGCTGCAAGAGGAAAAAGAAAAACAATGAAAAGCCATGCAAGCCCCACTTTACCCAGCCTGCAACCCCGACTCTCAGTGTCAAGCCGCAAAACTTGGGGGTTAAGAGCTTTTGGTGTCCCAGGCTTGAAGTCACCAAAGATGGAAGGTGACTGCAGGAACCCACATGAAGTGCTCCATTTCCCAGAACAGGAAAAGGTATAATAACCCCGCCCCCCACCCCCTCTCTGCCCTGTCCCGGTGTTTCCAAGACTGATAGGGGAGCTGTGCACACAAAGTTCCGGCAGTAGGTAACCTAGTGCTGATCAAGAGAGTTTAAATTTTCCAAGGACAGTATTTCAAAATTTTGTGAATTTTCTGCAACCTGGCAAAGGTTATTTTTGCACGTACAGACACAAGAATTGTGATATGTATGCAGTTAACATAAAATATTGATGTTACATTACTTTAGGAACCTGATGCGGGCCCTGGAAAACAGCATTACCCAACACGGGCTGGCCCTCTCTGCTGAAGGTCAACACGAAAGCCAACATTGCCACTGAAACAACCTTCGCCCCCCAGGCCATACCTGCTGCTCAGTTCTGGGGCCCTAGGACCACTCATCACAGCTGACCTCACCCAGGACAAAGAAGGGAGACAAGGAGTACCGTGGCCATGTCTCAAGGCAGAGCACCCATTCCCTCACTTCACCCAGCACCCTTCCAAACTCATCTCGGACACTAACGAGATCCTTATTGGAGAGAATGGAGATGTGTGTGTGTCAGTGTTGCTGCATTCCTTCTAGATGAAAGGAGGAAGAGGAAAAGAAGGGAGGGGGTGTTGAACTGCCATAGCAACGTGCACAAACTCAACCTTAGAATGCTTTGTCATCAGCAGCAGTCTTCCAGGCTTGACCCCATGGGTTAAATACTAGCTGCTAACTGTTAAGTAAGCCTTGCATATAGGCCTATCCTGTCGGTTCTCCACCCGACAGGATCTTGCAGAGTAGGGGTTGTCCATGCATGAACAGAATGAGCAACTGTTAGCGTCCTTACCACCCAGGGAACTGCCACCTGCGTCTCTCCCAGACAACCACATTCTCCCCATCTCTTGGAATCACAATCCTCCCGTTCATCAAAACTGGACTCAACAAACTTCTGAATACCTTGTGGAATTACTTCATTCTGTTGGGCCTTTCCCATACATTATTTCATTTATCCTTATAACCATGATTTCAAAACAAACTCATTTTATCTTAGGAAAATGAAGTTCAAAGTCCAAAGTTCTTTCTCCTGGTCACGTCCAGCCTTTTCTAAGGTGGCTTCACCAAATCAATTCCTCATGTGGGACCTCGCCAGAGGCAAAAGCCGCCGTCTGTCTGTGAACTGTCTCTGAACTTTTAGGGTTTCTTTCTCCAACTGTGTCCTCAAATACCAGTGTGAAAATGACCTTTCCTCTACTTAAACCTTGGTAACTTCTAAGCCTCAACCACCTCCAAATTCTCTGCCCCTATTTTATCTATGCTCCACTCGCTAAGGTGCTGTTTCTCCTCTCTCCCAACAACACAGCACCGCCACCACAGGCGGTACACGTTTTCTGATCACCACACAGTCTCTTCTCAAGGGTGAACAGCCACCCTGGCCACACTGGGAGCCTGGCTCGACTCACCTCCCCATGAGAACGCATAGCAACATCTCCCAGAGGCACGCTCCGGGCCTGGCATCGCACACATCTGTGACATCTTCTTAGAGGGTGTCGGGGTCTCTACTATGCTCTAGTCATTTGTCAATCATGTGGAAAACAGTACAGCACGTCTTGGAAAACTAAGTATCTACATGTTGTACAACCCAGCAAACTCTTATACATAGGAACCAGCAGATTGCTGGAAAGAAGTCCCCAGAAGCCTAGTCTGTGATGGCAGGGAGGAAGGGGGGGGGGGGGGGGGAGGGAGAAGAAGGGAAGGGAAGGAGGGATTGAGACCATTCTAAGGTCCACTGATGAAATACTGGGTAAATTATTTACTGGTATTCTTCCCCACACCATGAAAATATTTTAAGGTGTAAAAAACAAAAACCTTACAGGAACAAACATGTCTGGGACTATAAAGTCAGATGAGTCAGATGAGTCCAGCCAGTGCCTGAAGGTTCAAAAAGAGCTTTTCTAAAGTTCAAGAAAGGCAAAAATAAGCAGGATATTTAGTGGGATTATGAGATGAGGAAACGGAAAAAAAAATCCCACAGGAATAACATAATTTAGAACAGAGTTTCCTTGTACAGTGTGGTGAGGAACACAGGAACGCCACTGGAGACTTCCTGGCTCACCTCACGGTGGCTCCCGTGTGACGGACCTCCGGCTACTGTGGACAGCTGGTGTCCTCCACACAGGCTAGGCTCATCTGAAATGCACTGTCCACAGACGCCTCCCAACAGCAGCCCACTGCCCTTGGCCCTGGCCCTTCTGGAGGGCAGGGAGACAGCACTGCTGGAGGAGCCTGGAAGAACAGCACACTGGTCTCCACCGACTGATTCAGAAATGACTGATGGTCTGGAGGCCTGGGATATTAAAGATATTCATTACTAAACCCCCAATATAGTTGCCTAGCTGACCAAAGCTAAGAGCTCTTTATGCTTTTGGCAAGGGAAGTCCTAAGCCAGAAATCGACGCTGCAGGATGACAGGGACTTGGCCCAGTGTGGGCTCAACAGACACAGGAATAAAGCCCCTCTCTTTCAGTGGTCACACAGGCGGCCTACGCGGGAGGTGCCATCCGAGGTAATAACTAAAGAATAGCCAGGTAGTAACAGGGTTGGGACTTACTGCCCAGGTTACAGAGATGGGGTGATCTTAAAAAAACAAAATTACCATGCATGATAGTCTATCTTTAGTTTTTTGTTTTTTTTACAAATTTACAATAAGGAACAATTCTTTTGCTGTTTTTCATTTTTTTTTATTGCTGTTAATTCAAGGAAAAAAGGTTGCATAAAATCCAATCTGTCTAGAAATATAAGTGGCCTTTCCAGTACATAACATTTCAAATATCAAAGTATATGGTAAACATACAAATAAGGAGAAGGCAACATACCTCCTATGTACAGTACAGTATTTTAAATCATAAAATAAGCTCCATAAAGTACAACTGGCAAGTGACTCGCACTGCGCTTGCGCATACGTGGCTCATCAACACTCTCACCTGAGCAACTCAACTGCAGCTTAACAATTTAATAATGTGGTCCAAAAATACCCAGGTCAAATAAAATATATTTAATCAAAATAATTTCCTTTGCTTGAATTTTTTCTTTCTAAATTAAAGCTCTCATCTGCCCCTTCTCCCCCCTTTCCCTTTCCTGTAGCTCCCCACCCTGAAAGTTTCACAATGTACATTGGTGCTATAAATAGAAATGCCACTTCAGAAGCATCCAAGTGAGCTGCTTTTTGTCTTCAAGTTTTTCTGTCTGTCTAGCAATGTCAGGCTTCTGACCCAAGACCAAGCATGACGTTCCTCCGCTACACACCAGCACAACCCTCCACAACAAAGACGCGTCTTTCCTGCCGTGCTTAAGAATGGGACAACAGGGCCCTCACCCCTAAAACAATGACTACACCGTGGTAGCTGTTCATTGCTGTTGAGAGCAGCAGTCACCAAGAATCACACTCCATCTTCCAGATAACCTCAGTGCACTTTAGGAAATCAAAAATTACCTGGAAGCAATTAAGTACATAGATTGGCTTTTTTTTAAAACAACAACAACAACAACAAAACTTTTTCTTTTTTTAAGAACAGCAGCATTAAACTTAGTGACATGACACTGACATGATTAATACCATCTCGACACACTCAGAATTCAGTCTTTCACATTATAATCAAGCATAGTGGTAAACGGTTATAAAAGTGACTTTGCTACGAGAGACAGGTTAGGGGACAAATACCTGACTTTGTGGAAACCCATAGCTTCTGTTCGGATTGCAATAAACCACACTTATTTCAAACACAACGTAACACTGTAACAGTTGGTACAGCAAAAGAAGAAATATTTACTCAAGTAGTGTCTTTGAGCAGGACACAATGGTGGACGACGCGTAGAACTGGCCGTCGTCTCTCGCCACAAACACAAGCACACAGAGAACATTCACACCAGTGTGTTCACGCTGTCTCTCTGAAGCAACAGGCTAGAGGAGTATGATGGAAGGAAAAGTCGTTTCCTTTTAAGAAAATGTTTTTTGTCCATTTCAAATGCACGTTTCAGCTTCCTATGGTTTGACTTCTTCCTTGTTCTCGTTTGGACACAAGCACTGCGTGTATGTGTTCATGGGATGCTGTTTTTACGTATATACACACTGTCTTGGGAACTTGGTTTCTCCCATAAGGTAAGGTTGAACGTTTTGCCCTTGGACTACTTGCAGAGCAGTTTACAGAGGTGCGGACAATACACCACTGGGCGCCCCTGCCATGGGCAAGGCAGGGAAAAGGGAGAGCTTTGAGGGGGGTGGGAGAGAAGTATAGTTTAGGGTGAAAGTGAGAAAAGCAAGGGAAGAAGCAGTTTCTTTTTTCAAAACCATATGACTGTTACCAGTGTTGTAAAAAAAAAAAAAAAGGTCAAATACACAGTTTTGAAGATTCAGTAAACATTGCACACAGCAAGTATTCAGTGAAAAACAAAGCACGCGTCAACATTTCCTTTTGATAGTTCGTCTGGAAGTGTGAGTTCCGTGTATCATACAGAGAAGCCTGTTGTTGAACCAGGAGACCAAAGGCTCAGAAGCATTTCATTCTTTCTTATTTTGGACATTGGTACAAGAGAAATGAAAACTCCCAACTGCATAGAAATGTGTAGACAAAAAACAAAATACCTTTCCTCGCCTCCCCTCCACACCCGCGATCCCACACCGGAGTGTGCTAAGCAGGCAAGCTTTACGTGGTTCAGTCTGCGGAATCCAACGTATCATTAGAAGGGGGGAGGGGAGGTGCGTATCTCAGTCTGTAAGTGCCTAAAACAGGAAAGACAGAACGGCTAAGTCACCTCTGACAATGACATGCATGACAAACCAGTCAAGCCATCTGAAGGGCATACGCTTCAGAAGGCACCTTCTTTAGTTTAGCACTAAAACCATTCTGAACTGCAAATAGGTTACTTAAAAAAAAAAAAAAGGTATTATCAAGCTTGTGCTTTAGGTTCAAACTAAAGCTGTATCAAACTTGATCTGCCCTTACGAATGACAAGTCAGCGCACTCCCAACTCTACTCGTCCACCCCACCCCACACCCAGATTAAGAGCTGGAGAAAGGACCAAAGGCCAAATTGAAGTGAATGAGAGCGGCTTGAGGAAAACACTGAATTTGGTACTTTAGTGAACTTAGTTCAAGTTCTTATTTCCAAGCCAGTGTTTAACTGTTTTTCTTTTATAATGCAATAGCACTTTGGACTTTTTCTTCTTATACAGTCCTTAGGAAGAAACAGGCTAGCACAACATACAGGTGAGGCCAGCGGACGCTGGAGTTACTCTAAGCCTTGCATGCCAAATCACTGGCTTGCTTCCTGGTTTTCAGTATCTGAATTCTGCTTACTTGGCAGAGCTTAAAAAAAAAAAAGGCTGTAAGCAAGAATTATACCATAGAATTCCAATTCCCCTTACATTCCTTGAAAAGAGTCTCTAGTTTATTCCTTCTGACGTGACTTGTACTGTGTGTGACCTGCTCTAATCTAGACTTTTCTGGCTGCACTTTATGATGTCACTGAAGACATCTGTAAACAAACACACAAGCAGATCTTTCTATGACAGAATCATATAATCAACAAAGGAAGGAAAAACGAACAGGAGAATTCAAAAACAAGTCCTCTGGGAGTTACTGGGATTACCTTGTTGGTTGGCCTCCATGGACGACTGCTTACAGTCCTGTGCATAGTGCCCGCTTACACCACAATTGTAACAGGAGACATTCCCATTCTTCTTGGGCCCCGAACCACTGGTATTGGCAACTACATTAGGTGCTGGATATATGGGATAGAATCTCCCAAATCCTGCCATCTGTTGCATGCCATAGTTGGCTTGGCTTCCCATGACTGGGTCATGCACTAGTCCATTTGCATATGGAGTCTGAGGCAGAAAAAAAGGAAGTTGGTTTCCATTGCTCTGATGTGCTTGGTTGAGGTAGCTGCCATTGCAAATGGATGGCAGAGTGAAGAACGACGGGACTCGGTACACTGGTCCAGGCATTGGATTGGGATAATAGTAACTATTTAGCTGAAGGTTTCCATTGGTCCCACAGCTGCACCTTCGACCACAAGAACCACACGGCCCTGAGCCCATCTGCTGGGGTGGCACTATCGTCCCATTAGCGTTCGTGTTCCCCACAGCACTGATGTAAGATGTGCTGTCACTCTGTGCAGTACTGTGTGTCAAAGCAGGGCTTGGGCTTGGAGCAGGGCCTGGGGTATGGGTAGGGACTGCGGGAGGGATAGTGGACTGGGCCTGACTGATTCCTGCACTTGCTGGCTGGGCAGAAGTGGCTGCTGTGTTGAGCACATTAGAATTCTGAGTGGGTAACACGTTGGCAGCAAGGGGAGAGCCTGGTAAGGTGTAGGACGCTGGTGGCTGTGCGGCTGAGAGGCCAGCTGCTGGAAGAACTACCTTCACATTGGTAGGCTGAGGGACTGTCCCCGTGTTTCCCTCCATTTGAGGCACCATTTGATTTAGTCCTACCACTTGGGATGCAGATTTTGTGATGGGGTCCGTGGTAGCCACAGGAGATCCTGGGAAACTACCTGGGTTATGGACAGGAATAAAGGCAGTGTTTGGTGACCCGATGCTCAGATTTCCGGCTGGTTGTTGTGGGATATTAACTGTGCAACTCTCAGAAGATCCCTGTGGTGGTGGCAATTTAAGCCTCTGAAATGTTAGGTGTAGAGCAGGAGTACTACTGTGTGGAAGGAAGGCCGACGGAACAGGCAGCGGAGAGGCCAGCAATTCAAGGTGCTTTTCTGATTCTCCTGTAGAAGCTGTTGGCCCCAGGATTCCAACAGGGGTTGAGTTTGCAGACTCTCTTATTGCAGAAATAGCAACAGGACTAGGAACAAGCATCCCTATTGTTTTGCCATCTGCAGATTTGGGTGGAGGAATAACAACCTCAGGCTTCTGGGCACCATTGTGCATGACACAGTGTAGCGCTGGCATGAAAGGGATATGCGGGTACTTGGGTGAGTTCAAGGGTGAATTCAGGGGGTCTTCTAAAATGTTTCCATTCTCGTTTCCTAGTGAAACAATCTGACCAGGTGGCTTGACAGTGACAGTCTGGTTGACAGACCCATAACTTGTAAACCTGGTTGTTGATGGATTTCCGGAATCCTCAGAATTGCTGTCTGTATCTTAAAAAAAAAATTATATATATTAACCCAATAGATATTAACCCAAACTGAACTCTCATCTTTCTTGCTAGAAATGAAATTCAGGTATAAAAATGAACTCTAAAGTTTGAGTGTGCCCTCTATTATGTTTCCTAATTGCCCGGGCTGACCTCTCATTCCTGGCTTTCTATGGCATATTTAAGAAATATGCGGACACAGGCACAAAAACAAAACAAAAGGTTACTTGGAGATTATATGAGGTACAGTGTAGAGCATAGACATTCGCTCCCTATAAAATAGGGAACAGACATGTTTTTAAAGAATGAAATAAATATTTGTACTATACATATTTCAATTGGGTGAAGAAAATTTAAAGCTACTGCTGGTCACAAAATAAATAATCTATGGCATAAGAAGAAGGGCAAATATGAAAGCACTGCATTTATTCAAAATCTAAACTGACAGAAAACCGGTCTTACTAGTTCATTGCTCTTCCCCTTATATACAGAAACAATTTCAGTCTTCTGTTATAAAGTAGGTGGGCACTGTTTAATTCATAGTCATTTACTTAGGGTCAACCCAGACACCACACTGATTGGTACAGAGACCACACCATTAAATGCCATGCTTATCTACGTATCTTTCGGCTCACAAATAAGAGCTGAGAGCTGGCACGGGTGGCTCATTCCTATAATCCTAGCTACTGAGGAGGCTGAGATCTGAGGATTTAGATTCAAAGTCAGGTTGGTCAAACATATCTATGACTCATCTCTAACTAACCAGTCAAAAGGGAAACGAAAAACAGCCAGAAGTGGAGGTATGGCTCAAGTGGAATACTAGCCTTGAACAAAAATGTCAAGCAAAAGTAAGAAGTCTTTAAATTCAAGCCCCAGTACTGTCACAAAAGAGAAAAAATGTTGAAGTATACTACATAATTAAAGTGTATTTATTGAAAGATGTTAAAAAATGTTAAAACAGGACTAAAAGCAAATTAAAATTAATGGAATCTACTTAATATCAGCAATGATATTAAATGGACCATTTTAATTTATTGAAGAGGGAAGAAGTTCAACTGAAGTCTTTTTTAGCAAATTCTCATAGTAGATTAACATTTGGGGTATTTCTTACCAAAATTTGCAAAACAAAGACTATCTCCAAATCAATAACTGCTTTGAGGCACTGTATCTGTATCATCCCACCAGGGCAGAATTAAGGGGAAAAATAATGTCCAAAGAATATTTTTCACATGACCAGTTAAGTTTATGAGTGTGAAGTTAAGGCAAGTAGCACCGTGGTTTTAAACAGTCCTAAATGGGTTTCTGCACGCTACACTCATCTACATATTAAGAGGGCTGAGCTTATTTCTGTATGGCCTTTGGAAAACATTAAGTCGCAGACAAAACTCCTTTCCATTAAACAAGATTAATAAGCACTTAGAATTTAATTACAATTAAATAGAAATTTAATTAAAATCTTAGTAAGCACTCAGAATTTTTTAAATAATCAACTCTATCATAACACATATGGGTTTAGACAGGCCTAAATGAATCTTTTACCTAAGGAAGACTCATTCTTATTTGTTAATATCTGAGATTATATGAGAAAGGGCAAGTTCCTCTACACAGGCTTGCAAACACATGCTGTCTGATAGAGGAGAGGGATGCTACAAAGTTATCCAAGTATTTGACAACCAGGCCAAATCTGCAGAGTGAGGTAAAGAATCACAGAACCATTCATATATCCTTTAAAACCAAGTATAGTATTCAATGAAACAGAATGGGCACATCTACTCTGGGTACACCATAAAAATTCTCTCAAGCTTCCTAATAACTTCATTCCTAAAATCTTCATTTTCTTTCATCAGTAAACTGCAGAGCAGAAATGTCTGAGACAGTACAACTGGTGGCAGTCATGGCACGCTACAAAGTAACTACAAAATAAATCTGACTTCCAATTGTTTCCAAGTAGCAGCATAGCTGCATAGGTCTCTGACAAGGCAATATAGAAGCAGACTGCTCAGCAAGGAACCACATGATGGTCTAAGGATCTCTACAAAAGAAATCACTTGATAATGCCTCTCAGCTTGGATACACCTTATGACCAGGATGTCAACATGTGTGAAGAATGACATCCTTATTCAACATATGCCTTTTCAAGAAGGTCTCACTTACAGAGGGATAGAATAAAGGCCTCCAACAATCCTTAAAACCAACGAGAACCACAGGAAAATTTCAAATCAACTTTCTCCAAATTGTAGGAACTAAGGCTCAAAGCAATCTGAGGACTTAAAAAAAATCCTTAAGAACAGGAACTTATGGCCTTTTACCTTGTCCTACCCTAGTCCTACCATTTCTCCATTTCTGAAGCAGTCTTGCTGACTATCAGCCCCTGAATTATGGCAGCTATGATAAAGAGTACCAGCAGTTACTAGAAAGGTTACAAGTTTGGAGTTCTCCAAACCTGTAATGTCAATGTGTGAACCTGTCTGACAGCTCATGTTCACAACTAGATCAACAATCTCTTATCCACAAGACATTTGTCCTAACTAATCAGTGGCAAGTGTTTAACAACATGGCTATCTGAGATGGTGGTTTCATTTGGAGCCAAAGAGGCTAATCAAAATACTTAAAATGAGAAAGTGGAGAATGGAATGTCCATAGGGAGCTTTGAAAGCTTTCCCATATACTGAGAATCAAAAAAGCTATGCTCACACTTAGGCAGTACGCATTCCTAAATCATCCTACTGGGAATTACATTAAATGTAAAGGGACTAAACATTCAGCTCAAATGGCAAAAATAGGAAAACTAAATGCAAAACCCATGATCTAATTATATACTGTCTTCAAGAGACACAGTTCATATTTAAACACACACAGAGGTTTGAACAAAAGGACAGAAAATAAACTACCATAAAATTAGAACCCCTTCTAAGAGCTGGAGTGGCTATCATCATTAGACAAAATAGACTTTAAGACAAATATTGCTACTAGAAAAAAAAAAAGGATCTCATAATGATAAAAAGATCAGGAAGACATTAAAAGTATAAATGTATATGCATCTACTAATATACATAATATAGTCCTCATATGCTAATTCTACATTTTCTTATGATGCTATTTTCTTCCTATTTCATTTCACATGCAGTGAAATAAGTTTATAACATCAACACTTCTAGAAACTGCTACAGCAAGGTCTTTAAGATACCTTCTGTAATGAATTTAAAATGAATATAAGACATACGTTTATAGAAACATAAAATCGTATGGATCTGATTTTAAGAAAGAACACAGTATTTCCCTTCACCCCTTCCTAAAAGCAAACCTCTGTCCTTTTCTTCTTCGCTTTCAAAACTTTCTCTTCCATCATGTCGTGGACTAGATGGAGAACTGTAACTCTCTGAAGATGTTTCTCCACATGTGTCATGTCCAGATCCAATGTCCAAATTCACATCTAAAAATAACAACTCTATTTAAAAAAAAATCATGTTAAGAAGTTCAATTAATTTCCAAGTGAACTATTAGAAGTGAGTTTAGCTACAAATACTTTTTTCCGTTTTCCTATAAACCTTAAGTAACTTTAGATTTAGGTGAAAATTCATGACTAAATAGCAATTCTAACTCAAAGTAATTGATAAAGACATTCTTAAATGCAAAAACAAGAAGTCAATCTTACTGACTTTAAGCATTAAGGTTTCTTTGTTGGGTCTGTGCAGTATTGCTTTGAGCCACTTTCTTAAGTTTAGATATACTAAATCCTCAATTGCTTGTTGAAAACTTCTTTCAAGAATAGAATAGTATTGCAAAAAGACAATTCACGTAACTATTAAGCCAGTGAATTCAAAAGAATAAAATACTTCTTATCTACTAGACTGGACAGTCCCTTAATTTCTGTCCAAGGGTCAATCCTATACCAAGATGGGGTGGAGGCGAGTGTAGAACCTGTGATAACCAATTAGCGAAATCTGTTTTGGGCACATAAGGAGAGACTGATTATTGGTGTGCCTGGTATTGAAAATTCATACACTGGCCCAGAACTATTTATTTATGAACGACTAGTAAGTAGCAGAGCTTCTGTCTTAAAGCAAAGACACACATGTGTCTTTATTATAAATCTCCATTTTGTAGTTCTAAGGGGTTCTCAATATTTACAGATGAGTAAATAATTTCTATGGCAACTTGGCAGAGACAATAAAATATAATGATTATTAATTACTTGGGCAAAATATATGTCAGAGAAAAGAGATGACCTGTGCAAAGAACAATTCAGATGACTAACCTGTGTCTTCTGAAGGGGTAAGTTTGTAACAAATTCATACTTAAAGAAGCCTAAGGCTATCGAGGTAACTTGAGGGATGAGGGAGACTGACGGAAGGGGTGACACTGATCAATATGCACCATACTTATAAACTGATTTGTTGAACGGAAACTCTTTTGTACAACTACTAAAAGATAATTTTAAAAAAGAGAATAAACACTCATTATTGAATATTCAATTTTTTTGCATACTCATGAATACTGAAGAAAAATAAAGGCATTAAGAATGCAGATGTTTCTAAGGTCTTTTGGGGTAGGATTTTAAGGAATGCAACATTGCACAAAACTCATGAGAAATGAGAAAAAATGGTAGAGGAGTTTATATGGCAGGCAACACTTATAAAAAAGCAATCTTGAATATCCTTTCACAGGACAGGCTCTGAATTACTAGAGACGATATGGCTAAAGAAAGGGGTATAGGCCAAAACGTTCCAATGTGTCATACTGGTGAGATAGTTTAGCATTAAACCACACTCATGAAAATACAACCTTTAAAAACTGCTGCACATATGGAAATCTTGCATAGAAACAGTTCAGCCAGCATTTAACAAAATGAACAGCCCAAACAGCTTTTTCCCCCCACATGTAGCTTAATTTATAAAACAATTTTTACACGGTTCTAGCTAGTATTTTAATTACCATAATGCTATACATTAAATTGAAGTTTTCACGGAACTAAACATATAAATCTAAATCTATACTAGAATTATCTTCTTGATGAAGTGCTTCAGAATTGTTCAGACCTTGGAAACTTTTATGATATGAAATTACATGCTCCTGTATAGAGGCAGAAGCTGTGCAAGGTGAGAATGACAAAATTATGCCAACGATTATGCCATAACTGTCTTTGAGAGATGCAAATAGGTATTTTTAATCATATCTCAATAGTGACTTATAAGTCCTTATTCCTATCTTTTTTTGGGGGGGGTGGTGGATGGTCCTGGGGCTTCAACTTAGGGCCTGGGTGCTATCCCTGAGCTACTTCTGCTCAAGGCTAGAGAGCTCTACCACTTGAGCCACAGCACAACTTTCAGCCTTTTCTCAGTAGTTTATTAGAGAGTCTCACAGGCTTTCCTGCCCAGGCTGGCTTCAAACTTCGATCCTCAGCTCTCAGCCTCCTAAGAAGCTAGAATTACGTGAGCCATCACTGCCTGGCTCCCTACAAAAATTCTTGTTACTAATTATGGAAAGCTGAAGTTTGTTACAGAGTTAAGAACCATTTAATTAGGTAATAGGTCCACATTTATCATCTGGATTATTAATAAAAATTGGGTAACTTTATAGCATTGTAAATCTTGTAGAAGACACTGGGAGGCCAACCAACTCATCTCCCTTCAAATGTTTTGGTGTCACCAAGAGTGGGGTGAAGGAAGAGATGCTATGATAAAACTAAAATAAATAAATAAATATTTTTTTTGGCCATTCCCAGAGTTTAAACTTAGAGTCTGGGCTTGCTTAGCTTATTCAGCTGGCTTTCCACCATTTTATTTCAGCCTTGTGGTTTATTTTGTGTGTGCGTGTGTGTGCGTATGTGTGTGCGCGCACACGCACACACACGCACGCACACACACTCTACTCCTGGGCTTGAACCCAGGGCCTAGGCATAGTCCCAGAACTTTTGTGCTCAAGGCTAATACTCTATTACTTGAGCGCCTCCCCTCCCCCCACACACTCTTCTGGCTTTTTGGTGGTTAATTGGGGGTAAGAGTCTATAGACCTTCTTCCCCAGACTGCTTTCAAATCACTTAAACTGGCTTCAAACTGTGACTCTCAGATCTCAGCCTCCTAATTAGGAAGCTAGGATTATAGGTATGAGCCACCAGTGCCTAGTTTTTCAGCCTGGCTTTTTACTGATTGTTCTGGAGATAGTCTTGCAGATTTTTTTGCCTAGGCTGATCTCAAACCCCCATCTGTATCTCTGCTTTTGGAGTAGCTAGGGATTATAGGTGTGAGCTGTTTACACCCAGTAAGTAAAGAGTAATCTTAGAGATCTCTGTGTAGTAATGCATACAACAGAGACCTGAGTTTTTGAGAAAGGCCCAGGCTGTCCTCAAACTTGTAATCCTACTGCCTCTGCCTTACAGAAGAGGATCAATGGACCTAATGCTAAGACATAAAAAAGTTAGAAAACACAGTCAATGAAGGCACTTACGGATCTTTACTTTGTTCCCTTTTCTATTTTGTAGATTGTTGAGCTACATGAATGTATTATTATCCAAAATAGGTTAACATTTAAAACAACTGGTGTGTGTGTGTGTGTGTGCGTGTGTGTGTGTGTGTGTGTGTGTGCGCGCGCGCGCGTGTGTGTGTGTACACATGTGCTAGTCCTAGGGTTTGAACTCAGGGTCTGGTGCTATTCCTGAGCTTTCGTGCTCAAGACTAGTGCTCTACCACTTGAGATTCATTTCCACTTCTGGCTTTTTGGTGGTTAATTGGAAATAAAGAGTCTCACAGACTTTCCTATGCTGGCTTAGACTCATGATCCTTAGGTCTCAGTGTGCTGATTATCTAGGATTACAGATGTGAGCCACTGTTGCCCAGCTTAAAATAATATATTATTGTTTTTATTATTATAATATATATCTTTCTTTTTTTCTTTATTTATTTTTACTGGTTCTGGGGCTTGAATTCAGAGCCTGGGTGCTATCTATCCCTGAGCCTCTCTGTACTGAAGGCTAGAGCTCTATCACTTGAGCCACAGTACCACTTCCAGCTTTTTCTGAGTAGTTTATTGGAGATAAGAGACTCACAGACTTTCCTTCCCAGGGTGGTTTTGAACCTTTATCCTCAGATCTCAGCCTCCTGAGTAGCTAGGATTACAGGCATGAGCACTGGCATCTGGCTAAAATAATACATTAAAAAATCCTAAATAAGCTGGGCAGCGGTGGCTCACGCCTGTAATCCTTGTTACTCAGGAGGCTGAGATCTGAGGATCGCAGTTCAAAGCCCAGCCCGGGCACGAAAGTCTGTGAGACTCTTATCTCCAAAAAAACCCACTAGAAAACCGGAAGTGGCACTGTGGCTCAAGCAGTAGAGCACTCACCTTGAGCAGAAGAGTGCAGGGACAGTGCCCAGGCCCAGAGTTCAAGCCCCACAACTGACCCCCCCCAAAAAAAATCCTAAATAAAAAATATATATTCAATATCTAAACCTTCTAACCAGGGCATAATACTTTCTGCTCCAACACAGAGTCGCTGTTTCATAAGGAAAAAGAGAACTTTAAATGTACCCCAAGTTTACTGAGCACTTAAAGGTAATGACTTCTTGGTAGGGTATTTTAATATTTCAAAGGGAAATTAATAGAGTTAATTTTTTAAGTTGAATTTGGCCACATTTCTAAATTACAGACACGAATGAGACAAGCTGTTGCATATAGCTTCTATTCAATCATACTCCATAAATGTCAACACATATCAATCAGTAACAAAATAAAATAAGTTTTGGCTTATTCAAAATCCTAAAGTAATTATTAAAAAACTTGAAAATTAAAGAGATAAAAGGAACCAGGTGCTAGTGAGCTCTTGCCTATAAACTTAGCTATTCAGAATGCTAGATCTAAGAATCACTGTTCAAAGCCAGCTTAGGCAGACAAGCCACAATATTCTTATCTCCAATTAACCAGCAAAAATCCAGAACTAGAAGTATGGCTCAAGTGCTATAACATTAGCCATAAGAAGTAAGGCCACAAGTTTAAAAACAGAAGAAGAGAAAAGAACTGGAGCATGGGATTTACAAAGTTCCTGTTACAAATGATCTTGGAAGGTTATAAAGTTTAATAAACTGTGAAATATGTATTTTCATATATATTAAGGAGAAAAAACTAAATTAGTGAATAGCACAGGACTTAGTACTATTGAAATACTATTCATACATTTTTACATATAATCCTACAATCTGATGAGTGAGGAATTTTCTGGGTGGTAAATGAGAAAGCTACATACTCAGAGAGGCCACATATCTAAGGAACAAGGGACACAAAAGCCAAGTCCACTGCTGTCTCTGATCAAAGGCTGATCCTTTGGAAATAGGAAGCTATGGTAAGAATGGCTGCAAATGCCTTCGGAGAAAAGCAGTTACAAAGATGTGAAACAAGAGGCAGCTGGTCCTGTGAGGGGTGAGGTGTGCTTGACAGGAATCTCATCAGGAGATTGACCAATTAAGAATGTTCTCTGAAGACAAATGTAGTAGCTGTAAAGAAAATGAGCCAAGAGGGCCCTGCTGAGATGGAATCTGGGCAGGCAGTGAATCTAGTCATCAACCCAAACTTTTAACCATCCTTATAGTTATTAGCCTTTTCCTCTTGCTTGTCACACAAGGAATCACAGCACCAGTAAAGCATGACAATATATATGCTGCTGGGACTGGATCCTTGTATAGACAGGATGGGATTTTTCATGTCATTTTTACTCCTATGAGCTGATCCAATGAGTTGGCTAGATGAGTTTAATCAAAATGTGACCATTTTTCTTTCACAAATTATTCAATCTCTCTATACAATGCTGAGTTAAAAAATAGACCCCATCTAAGAAATATATTCTGGTGATTTATATTAGATCACAAGTGAATGTACTAATATTACTGTAAGATTTAAATTTTAAAAATTATGATTCATGAGACCAGCTAATGCCTATGTTAGGAGCATACACAGACCAAATAAATATTCCCCAGAAGTTTGTGTGCTTCTATTCTCATTTTTTTTCTGCCTTTTCTATCAACAGTAAAGACCAAAACTAAAACAAAACAAAATACCAAACAAACCCAGAAAAGTAATCAATGAACTAGCAGAAAGGGTGTATCACTTCAAATGAACCATGAGCCTAAAAATGAGCCTAAGAGACCTTAAAATAATAGTGGGCAAATGGACACTACAAAAAACTCTATTATAACAAAAATCTGAGTACTCCTCCCCCTAAAGCCCCACAAAAGAAAGCTACTGATGAAAAAGTCAACAATTCTGAGAGATGACACCTAGAAGAACATGTCCAGACCACCGTGAGGGTAGCCTACAGAGCTTCAGAGAAGAGATCCATGGCCTTGGGTCTCTGAGTAGGAATGGGTCAGAGAAGGAAACAAGCTGGGTGACTACTGGCACGGAGGAGGTGAAGGAAATGTCTACTTCCATGGCTGACTTATAGTCCTTAAGTTTAACTTTATTAATTTCAGAATAGTTTGATTGGATTGCATACACATTAATGCAAGGTAAAATTATACCAGGATATGACACAATAGCTCAATACCTACTAATACCAGTAAGAATCAGGTTAAAGTAAGTATGCCTGGGGAATGGGTATTTGAAAGGAACTCACCTTTTACACCACCACCATGGGCATGCTGAGGAGTGGAGAGTCTAATACCATTTATTCTACTATTCAGTCTGTTGTCAGTTTTCTTTATTTTCTCCCTAAACCAAATGTAAATATTACCAACACTTTATAAGGTTTTCTGTCAAATACAGTAATAAATACTGTACATATTTTTATGGACATCTTAAATACAACATTCATGATTCAGTACATAGGTCTCAGCGTTCTTTGCTTCCCCCTTGTGGGAGGGGGATTGAACCAAGGGATAAGCCTTGAGGTCCTCGCCTAAAAAAACCCCATTTCATATCTATCAACTGCATATGCTAATACTTCCAACTAGAAACCACTAAGCCCAGAATTAATACTATTAAGTCACTAATGAAAATCTATTTGTACTATATAAACTAGATAAACCCACAGTCAAATGCTATATGCAGTTTTTCCTTCTGAATTTCTATTACTAGAAACATTAAATTGAACCTACTTTTCTACTTGTGGCTTTCCTTTCTTCTTATTTACTGAAGATAAATTCCGTTTATCAGCAGAATGCTAGTAGAAATAAAAATACAAGTTAGACCAAAGTTAAACCATACTGCTATAAATATCTTTTGTTCTAATATCAAACACTAAGAAGAAGAATATCTTTCCCCATCGTACATTATAACAAATCTCCATTTCTAACCTATTTTTGAAGTCACTCACCAGAATCCCTAAAATTTACATATGTGGGACAATACTTATTAATAATCATGATTAAAATTCAGGTTTCTTTTAAGGTGGAGCTCTCTACTGTTTTCTGAATACAGCAGTACCTTTTTACAGTTTTGCTTTCTATAGTCAACTATGGTAAAAAAATACATATATATTCACAGAAACATATAGAAATAAACATTTCCTAAGTTTTAAGTTGTTCCTTTGAATACCATGATGAAATTTCACCACCACCTCGCTAGCACTCATGACAGTGGAATAGCCATATTCATGAACATTTATTTACTATATATTGTTATTATTCCAATTTATTTACTGTTAGTCTTTAAATCTTACTGTGCCTAACAACAAATTGAAACTTCTCACAGGAATGTAATGTATAGAAAAGACAACAACAGGCCAGGCACCGGAGGGCTCATGCCTATAATCCTAGCTACTCAGGAGGCTGAGACCTGAAGATCGAAGTTCGAAGACAGCCTGGGCAGCAATGCCTGTGAGACTCTTATCTCCAATTAACCACCAGAAAACCAGAAGTGGCACTGTGGCTCAAGTGGCAGAGTGCTCACCTTGAGCTAAAGAGCTCAAGGACAGCTCTCAGGCCCAGAACTCAAGCCCATGACCAACAACAACAAAAAAAAAACAAAAAAAAGGAAGAAAAAAACAACAACATGCACACTATATGGGATTCAGTAACATCCACATTTTCAGGCATCCACTTGATGTCTTTAGATAAGAACGTATCAGGACAACATCCAACATAGAGTGTTATCAAGTGACTGGGTTTTGCTATAGGTGTGTCACTCTTCCTTCTTCTCAGATACACTAACTGAATGCTTACAGAAATCCTCATTTTAAAAAAAGAAAACAGAGGAAGCAGCAATTCTTTATATGGCACTAAAGAGCCCCAGCCCCATACCTGGTCAGCTAAGGTCACACAGTGCTCTGGGTGCTGGATGGCGGCACAGCTTTGTTTCCTCCAATCCACAATTCCATTCTGTTCGGAGTACTGCAGGGTAAGCCCATCCAATGGAGAACAGCTTGTACCAACACTGCTATCAAAAAAAGAAGTTTATGACAGTGTGAAAGATCTGCCTTTAATAATTAACTTGTTGTATCATTGAAATGAGGAAGCTATAGTAATTCTTCAGTTTGTCTTAGATTTAGTATTTGTCTTATTTGAATATCATGTGATAGGCTTAAGGAAAAAATATTATGAGAAACAAATAGGCAAATATTTAATAGCTTTATTGACTGGGCACTAGTGGCACATGCCTATAATCCTAGGCGGAGACTGAGAGGATTGTGGTTCAAGGCCAGCCTGGGCAAAAAGATCATGTCTCAAGCAATAGCTAGGCACTGTAGTGCATGTCTGTCATAATAGGAAAGATTGAGACCCAGAACAGCCTGAGTAAAAAGAGAATACCTTGCCTCCCTCCCCCGCTACAAAAAAATTATGTGTAACTACCAAGGTTAAACAAGAGAAAAATACAAAAAATAGCAACCTAAAAGACCCCAAGAAAGGAGACAAATGGACACACAGAATGGGCAAACTATTGTCAAATATGTTTTAATTGCTTGGATGTGTACAAAGACATTTATGTTTTAGGAATCAGATACCTACTTCACAACAGGACTCTTCCCAGTATGCTTCTTGTGAATGATGGTGTGTTGTAACACATCTGGAGTAGGAGAAAAAGTCATTCAATTATCACCCTACATGCCCCAGCTAATGTCTAAAAGGATAGTGCTACCAATACAAACAGTAGAGATGGATGGCTAGAGCACTTGTATACATTTCCTAACACAAAAGATATTTTAAAGAAGCAAGTTTTCAAAGACATACTGAGCTCCTAAATTACCTTAAATATCCTTTCAAATTGTTTCACCTAATAGCATATTGACCCTGCTCAACATTAGGAAAATCTTGCTGGGTATGGTGGAATACACCTGTGATCACAGCTACTGGGGAGGCAGAGGTAGGAGGATGTGGTCTAAGCATGAGACTGTATCTCAGAAATTAACTAAAAGCAAAAGGTCTGGGTGAGACTCAATCAGTAGAGTACCTGTCTAACAAGTGGAAAGCTCTGATTTCAAGCTTCAGTTTGGGCACTAAAAGAAAAAAGTCGTCTTGCCCACCCCCCACCCCAAATAAAACAAACCTGTTGCATTTGCCTCCTGAAAGATTGGGATTACAGTTGTGGACCACCAGACCTAGGTGAAAGCTTCATTTGAACCAACCACATATATCTATGTATTCATAAATACATATATTGGTGTGCATGTTTAAATATACTACAAATGCTCCTTAACTACCACCAAGGATTAATATATCATGATTTATCTGTATTTATTAACATTTGAAATATTCAGTCATTTTCCTGGTATTTGCTCTTACAAACAAGGTTGCCTTGAGTACCTCTCTCCACTTCTCCCTGAGCACAAGTGCAGCAAGTTTCACAGAAGTAAAATCACTGGGTAGCAGCATAAAATTCTCTCCAACTTCACCGCATGTGCCATCCACAGTGCTTGAGTTCCCCTTGTTTCCTAGGCTTGATAAGGCCAATCTGATGAATGTAAAGTGATGTTTCACTGTTCTCATTGCATTTTCTCAAATTCTAATGAGAGTGCACTTGCCCATATATTTCCTATTTATGTCTTTTGCCTGTATTTCTGATTGAATGACTTCTCACTTTTTTTTTTTTTTTAAGAATCCTTCTTTAAGCTGCTCTTAGTCTTTTATATATAAATATCCTTTAAATACCTTCTCTTAGTCTGTGGATTGCTTTCTAATTATATGGTTTCTTTTGTCATACATAATTTCTTTAAGATCAGTAGACTGTATGGTCATATTCTGCCTTGTTAAAGAAAGCTTTCTCTCTCTCAGAATAACATTTACAAGTTTAGACTTAACATTTTACAAATAAGTTGCTACTCACTTGAAATTTTTATACATGATATAATCTCTATAACCGTAATCCGATCTGCTCCATCCCTGTAACAACATCCAACAGAATGTCTTATTCTAGTGAGATCTGCATTTACCTTCTTCTTGACTGGAAGCTTCTGAGCTGTCTTCTTTTAAGTGTTCCAATATTTTAGAAGTCTTCAGAGAGGATGGTAAGTTACCTGAAGAAGTAATTCTTACTATTAGCCCTATTACATAAATAAATAAATATACCGTAGTGACTACCCCCTTCTCAAGGAAGAGGAGTGGAGGGTTAGCAATGAAGAGAACATGTTTACTAGTCAGGGCCTTCAAGACAGCTTGATGGTATGGAGTTGTGGAGCCTACAAGCATATAACATCTGTCAGCTCCAAGATGCTCCCTCATGAGATGAACTGAACAAGAAGGGTGCTCTCAAGCAATGAGGACTTCTAAAAATATTGTTTTAATTTTTTTTCAAATCTCCCATTTGTTACTTTTTTGAGGGGTGGGGGTGGTTCTAGGATTGAATTTAGGACCTAACACTTGCTCAATCACTCCAGCCACACCCAGCACTTTTCTGTGGTAGTTAATATTCAAGGCAGGGCCTTGAGTTAGGCCTGGGCTGACCTGGGCTTCAGTCCCCCTACTGTGCTTTCTCGTATCAGTGGAGATGACAGGTGGGCATCACTGCACACAGTCACTGAACTTTTATGCTTGGACTGGCCTCAAAACTCAATCCCTTCTTCTCTACCTCCCAAGTTGCTGGGATTACAGATGTGAGCCACTTCACTTAGCTTCTGTTACTTTTATAAAACACAACAACAATGCTGTCGCTACGATGGATGACTACAAAACTCGCAGTATTACTCTGAATTTATGTCTTTCTATTACAAAGCAGTGACAAGGAAACTGTGGTCACAACACTGACTCAAGGAGCACATTTTGCTAGCAATCGAGTCTAGAATGGGACCTCAACTTATTTAGGAATTTAACACTGTTTTCTTAGATTTAGTTGTCAGGATATGTCGTACTGCTCTCTGTTCTAGAACCAACAGTAGCACTATCAAATTAAAATCAAATCCAAAACCCTGTGTGCACAAATGAACCTTGACAGCAATGTGTTCATCAGTGAAATCAGACATAATCATGCTGGTAGTTTCCAATCTCAAGTTGTGTGTTTTCAACATATTTTAATTTCACACCTGAACACAAAATCAGCTATCCTTGGTAGCACTGCTTATGGGATGAAAACCTTACTTAGCTATCCAGAGTCGTCCCTTACTCATAGCCTCCTCACATGGCACACGCCTGTCCTGGCAGCCTATTTCCCTATGTCTATTAATTCTATGCCCTTTAGATTTGAACAGATACCACTGACAGATAATACTAAGAAGCAATTACACCTGGCTCAGGGAAAGCACTGATTCTTAGGTCTATATGGCTCTAGAGTAACCGTAACTTAACAAAACTTGTCATTTTTCAGACATAAATTCATCCATGGAGCTATGCATCTTATCTGAGTCAAGAAGTCACAAAGAGTTGTATTTTTAATTCTTTTTTTTTTTTTTTTTGGTCCAGTCCTGGGGCCTGAACTCTGGGCCTAGGCTCTGTCCCTAAGCTCTTCAGTTCAAGGCTAGTGCTCTACCACTTGAGCCACAGCGCCACTTCTGGCTTTTTTCTTATGTGGTGCTGAGGAATCGAACCCAGGGCCTCATGCATGCAAGGCAAGAGCTCTACCACTGAGCCACCTTCCCAGCCCCTGTATTTTTAATTCTGATTGCTAATTATTTTCAAACACACACACTCCATCTAACAAATTCAAAAACTTCCTAAGTTATCCTATATGTACAACATCCAACCATAGTTTTTTACTTTCTCAAGTGTGTGGAAATATGTATTTTATTTTCTCCTTAAGAAAAATAATGATATAAAATAATGATATAAAGTTAGCAGAAATTCTCAAAAAGACACCTAAGTGTTACTGGCAAAATATCTGTTTTAAAGGAAGGCTGAGGAGAATGTGTATAAAACTGAACACAAGACAGACAGTGACAAATGCTAAAACTCAAGGGAAAACTGAACACAAAAAAACATTAACAAAAAAGTACATTGGGAAAGTTTTTGGGAAGATGTGATACTTCAGTAGAGTTGTGATTTCAGTGGGTGGTGATGAAAGATAAATGTTTAAGTAAGAGGAAGAATGAACTGAGACACTGGGACAGGAAGTAGTAGGAAGCCCAGGAAAGAACTGAGCCTTCAAGTAGCTAAAGCCTATAAGACCAGAAAGCAAGCTCAAAGCCAGGCTTGACTTCCTTATCAAACTTTTAAAGTTTTTAACATGTTATTTGCAATCAACTTTGTCCCTGTGCTAGTCCTGGAGCATGATAGATTAAGAACTAGCATCTGAATTTAGAGCAGGAAGGTTGAGTGGCTCATGCCTGTAATCCTAGCTACTTTGGAGGCTGAGATCTGAGCATTGTAGCTCAAAATCAGCTGGGGTAAGAAAGTCCCTAAGATTCTTATCTCCAATTAACCACCAGAGAACCAGAAGTGGAGCTATGCTCAAAGTAGCAGAGAGCTAGCCTTGAACAAAAAAAGCTCGGAGACAGCACCCAGGTCCTTTTTGTCAGCCCCATGACTGACAAAAAACAAAACAAAAAAACAGGGGTTTGCAGGTAACTTGCTCATGTATGAAATAATGCACAAGGGATAAAAAGACATTCCCTTGTCCAGCATGGGTTGGCCTTTAAATAATTGGAAATGCACATGACTAGGTGACCCAGGAAGAAGGCAGGGTAGATCACACCAGCATCATCACACCTCCCACTCTGTACGCCAGCACTGTCAAGGAACTAAACTGAAGGACTAAGCATGACCTGGAGTGTCAGAGATTCTTAGTCTGCCCTGTTACATGAGCTTTTATACATTACTCTCTTTAAACTTTCAGTACAGTCAAACCTTGCTCTATCACAGTTCCCTTATTGCGGCTTCACTGTATTGAAGGTTTTTCGTAAAAAAGAAAAATGTAAATAGAGATCCCTCATCCCTCACCTACTACAGGAGTTACATTCCAGAGACCCCTACGATAGGTGAAAATTCATGAAGGAGCAGTGTTATATAGTCATCCCTTGCTATATATACACAGTTCACTTATTACTACTTCACGGATTTTCACCTATCACGGGGGTCTCTGGAATGTAACTCCAGCAATAGGTGAGGTATCACAGTATAAAATTCATTTAAATAATGACAAATATATCTTAATATTTTGTATTTCCTATATCTTAATATGTCATGAGGTCTTTTAATTGAAACTGGTTAACTTTTAATTATAAGATGACACAGCAAAAGATCACTAAGCAAAGGAAAAACTCCGAGACTTCCACAGATGAACAGAGCATGCTTACTGAGATTGTGTAGAGAGTCTGACGACATGGACCGGAAAAAGCTGTGTACTTTCTGACTCTGTAGAAAAGCTTGGGATGATGTTGAAAATAGCTGCCTGCACATTAAAAAAAAAAAAAAAAAAAAGCTTTTATTAATTTCATGTATATACACCCTCAAAATTGCAGTTTAGATTATAAAGAAGACTTAAGGGACTTTTTAATAAGTACAGAGAAAAGTGTTTTTCCTCCTAAAGAATATTCTTCCTATAGGAAGAAGCAAGTAAAATACAACAGAACTCACTCATGATCATTTACTAAATAGATTTTTAATGGTAAGGTTCCAGTTCTGGCAAAGATCTAGTATTTCATTCTTTTGACCAATTGGTCCAATAATTGCATTTTTGTAATGTCTTTTTTGAGTGTCTTCTTTGTCCATTCTCCAGCCCCACTAGGCTCTCCATTAATTCATCCTGAGGCTGCTGCGTGTCTTGTTTTGCCCCTGTATTGGTTTTAGGACTTAACTATTCAGGAGGGAAGGTGGAAAGAGTACAAGAGCCAACCATGATTCTTTTAAAATGGCAATCATTCAAAGACAGTAGTCACTGGAACTCCTCATGTGCGTATGTACTTAGTTTTAAATTACCCATCTAAACTGGAGAATACCCTGGAACATTATCAGAGTATTTTGGAAACAGAACCAAAAACAGGAAAGACCAGATTTATTTATCAGTTATTAATAAACTAGAAAGCTCTAGTAAGTGAAATGTGATCCTTAAGCAGGAAAAACAGACTGGCAGAATTTGAAGTCTAAAGTCTCATATTCTAGCATAATTTAGGAATATCTGATAAAGAAATCAATAATGTGAGAAAGAACTATTTCACTGTTTGAAATATAAGTCAACTGAGGGTCCAACATCATATAGAACAACAAAATAAATACTAATGTGTTTAATACAATCTTTTAATTTTTTAAAAAGTAAATGGAGAATATACGTGGCGCAAACTCAAGTTACAAAGTAAAAGCCAAGTCTCTTTACTACTCTCTAGCCCCTTATTTTCCATAGAGACAAGCCCTATATTATTCTATGACATAAAATAAAGCCCTTTTGTTTTCTCTAGAGACTTCTTTGTAATCAAGTGTGTATCAACATTTACTTGCTTTTCTAGTCAAAATATAGTACAGTAAATATTCTTCAACATTCATCTTAGCATGTAAGATGAGTAACTAAAAGTATTCCTAGTCATACATGATCAGTATTTAACTTTTGTACTGCCAAATGGCTTTCTGTACAAGTTTTACCAATTTATGCTTACTATCAGAGGACCCACAGGTAGACATACGTGTATCCCAGAGAAGATAAGGGAGTGCCCAATGCCTGCACTACAGTGAATCACCGCAGGCCTGTGGTCAGGGTTCAAGGAGCCAGATACTCTCATTTTAAACAAGAAACTGAGAACTGAAGCTGGTGATCCAGGTACTCCAAAATCTGGCCAGGTATTATAATGAAAGTGAGATACTGTTCTGAAATCACCACTACTGATATTTTCTAATTGTAGTAGATATATTTTATAGTATGACTTCACATCCTCAAATGAGCTTCACACTAAATCCAGTTTCTTTAAACAGAATCTCTCGGTCATCTGCTGGCCAGTACTGTGCACTCTTTAACAGATTCTCCACCATTCGGTTTAGTTTGACAACTGCTTGGTCTTCGGCTGCCAAACCATGAGCCAGAAATGACAACATGTGTTAGGAAGTGGGCCCTGTGTTAAGATGTAAGTCGTGCCTCTTCTATGTCAATTACCCTGGCATTGATATACTTTGCAGTTTAACATGACTATGATTATATGGGCTCACATCTCTCTATCTGTTGCAATCTGTTTTCTGGAAACCTGGCCACTCCATTAGGATAGTCATGAGACTCATTTCAAATTTCCAAGTCTAGCTGCTGCCAGTGAAACTAATAGTGTGTGTGTGTGTGTGTGTGTGTGTGCGCGCGCGTGCGCACACTCGCACGTGCGTGCAGTGCGTGAGCATGCTTGTGTGCTAGTCCTGGGACTTGAACTCAGGGCCTGGACCCTGTCCCTGAGCCTTTTTTGCTCAAGACTAGCACTCTATCACTTGAGTCACAGCTCCACTTCTAGCTTTTTTTAGTGGTTAATTGGACATACCAGTCTCACTTTCCTGCCCTGGCTAGCTTCAAGCCAAGATCCTCAGATTTCAGCCTCCTAAGTAATGAGGATTACAGGCATGAGACACCAGTGCCGAGTAGGAGTTCGTTTTTTATTTTAAAGAAAGAAAGAATTTCAAGTACTTTTCCCAAAGTACTTGTTTATTTACTATGTATTTTCTTATTTTACTTTATGCAGAGTTTGTTTTATCTTTAGCATCCAAATTTGTTTTTTAATGTTTTCTAGGAAAAACCTTTCATATTTGTAATAAACCTTATGCTTCCTTGTTTGCATTTATACTTTGGCTACCACTAAAAATCTGTTTTTTGAGACATGTTCTCACTGTTATTACCCAGATTGGTCTTGAACATTCTAACCCCAATGACTCTTCTGCTCTAAATACTCCTAGGACACTTGTTTTCCAGACACTTTGGCACAGATTCATCTACTTCACACTTCCAGTCCAGCTTAGATTGATTGTCCAACATTTATTTAAAACTAAACAGTCATTCTAAATTTCTCTGGCTTCTGTCCTGTGGTCCTATGTAAGAAAGCCCCAACCTTCTTTCTTTATATTTGGACTAGAATTGTTAGAAAAATTTTTAAATGCATAAAACAGGTCAGATTGATACTGTATATACTGACTACAGTGAAAAAGCTACCCTTTATCCAGCTTACTAGGCCTCTTTCATTGGCTGTTCTGCAGGTCCCCATACATGGCTTTAAGTCTTTTCTACTTCAAGCATTTGAACCTCCTTAATTCACCCATTTTTATGCAGATCTTTTACTTGAGAGAACATATAAGCCATTAGTCAAAACATCCTTCAAGTTCCCATCATCAAGGTCCCTGCGGGGAAAGGGACCTTGTCCATGAAACACCACTCTCACCTGTATCTTCCATCTCTTCCTCTCTCTACAGGTACATTGGGAGGCTCTGGGAGAAAGGCCTATGTGCCTATGGCATTGTATTTAGTTTTCCTCTCACCTACACCCATCCTGTCCAATAGTTCAACAATCTAACGAGGACAAAGATGCTGACCTTAACTTGTATTGGGCTCCAGGAGAGCAAATGGTAGGAGCAGGTGCTTGGGAAGGGTTGTTTCCCCTCACTTCCTATCCCGCAACCTATTTATTTAACAACTTAGAACATTTCCTGATAAATATTTTATGGAGAAAACAGTTAAGTTTTTATTCAATATTTTCACATTTTTAGAAGCAATAAAATTTTATTATGTTAGAGAATGATACAAATGAGAAAGCATGGTGCTTTTTACTGTGAGCACAATGGAAAAGATCCATTTCAAAAATTCTCCAGAGAAAGAATCTCTGGAGATTAAGCACCTGCAGCCAGCTGCCAGCTGCTGTGTTTGCATTAGGAAGGCTGTTACCTCAGTATGGGCTCCAGGTCAGGGTGTCGCCGCTCCTCCCTTTTTATGGAACCCTGATTCAGGGCTCTTAAGATGGTTTTGTCAAAAGTCTCTGAAGACAATTCCTTTGGAAGCTAGAAAGACACAAACATCCCAAGTTACATTTCTCCTTACTATTATATATAAGATGCATAAAATGAAAATGAAATACAAAACAATAATATAGGCTATAAAGTAAAAGGTTTCCTTTTCATTTATCATACCAAAGCAGCTTTTTTCCCAACACTTCAACACAGAGGCCTGTCACCTAAGTTTCCCCTAGGGAACATGGCATCTCCTTTAGGTCATATTGTGGAGCTTGCCAAAGTGCCAGCTTCTGGGGCACAAGTGTCTGGGGCATATGCTTTTGGGACATACTTGCATGTAGCTCACATGTCACTCACATTATATTCTGAGTTAGGCTGAAAATTTTGTACAGCACAGCTGGTATTATTTCAATTTTAAAATAGTATTCTGAAAGGTGTTATCTCTCCTCCATAATTACCATCTTTGAAACTCCAGTTTCAAATTGTAATCTCATGCATTACATAATGGACTGAGAGGCATGAAAAGCCAGACGAAACTTTATCTTTGTTTGTTTTTTTTTGGTCTGGTCGTGGGGCCTGAACTCTGGGCCTGGGCGCTGTCCCTCAGCTCTTCAGCTCAAGGCTAGTGCTCTACCACTTGAGCCACAGTGCCACTTCCAGCCTTTTTTTTTTTTTTTTCTGCTTATGTGGTGCTGAGGAATCGAACCCAGGGCCTCATGCATGCAAGGCAAGCGCTCTACCACTGAGCCATCCTGAAACTTTATCTTATTTACATCAACAATACTAATCAGAAGTTTTCTTCAATTCATTGAAGGTGTCCTGGGAACAAGAAATTATAAATAAAAAAAAGCATTGCTTGGTCAAAAAAATTAAAACTCAAATCTCGTCATTTTATTTAAATTGTTTACTTTAAAAACTTGCTAGTAGGCCGGGTACTGGTGGCTCACACCTGTAATCCTAGCTACTAGGGAGACTGAGATCTGAGGATCACAGTGCAAAGCCAGCCCAGGCAAGAAAGTCCGTGAGACTCTTATCTCCAATTAACCAACAGAAAACTGGAAGTGGTAGAGTGCTCACCTTGAGCTGAAGAGCTGAGGGACAGCACTCAGACCCAGAGTTCAAGCCCCACGGCAGACAAAACAAACAAACAAAAATCTGCTAGTTGCAAAGTTAATTTTTCAAGTTTTTCAAAAATTCCAAGTTTAAATTTGACTTTTTGTACTAATTTCTGAATTAGTTACTTCCACTAAAATTGAAAGTAATTAAAATTAACTTCATTAACGTAACCCAAAGGGCCCTAGGAATATAAAAATTTACATAAAGTGATTTACATGGTTTTAATTTCAACAATCCATAATTAATATCTTTTGTAAAGCATTCTGTGTAATTAAATGGAAAATCCAGCAAAGATAGGATAAAATATTACTAATTTTAAGATGCTCTATCAGTGTGTGGCTCATGACTTAATGCAGGAAGATTGAGAGCTCTGTAATATCCAAACATACACCAACTGTGGAAATCCTGTTCTCTAACCACTAACAGAAAGAAACAAGTTCTGGACTGACACATTTTTCAAACAGAGAACCTCTGATCCTACATCTTTATTATATCACCAATTTAATACACAATCTCTATTAAGCATTTGTACACAGACAAAGAAAATCATATTTGTGGAAAAGTCTATATGAATTATCAAATAATTTGTTCTAGACAGTGAAGACAACGACTACATAAATTTTTACCAAGTCAATGAACTGCTTACATTACTAGGCAGAATGTGGGCATGAAATCATTGGTACTGCAGCTTGTTTTTTTTTTCAAGTGTTTTTTACCTGAAATTCCAGAGCCTATATCCAGTCCTAAAGAAAGGATATTAGCTAAGAAGGAAACCACTCCCACTCCCTCCCCCCCCAAAAAACAGCTCTAAATCCACAGCCTAATGCATAGTCACTTACAAACCCTCACTATAATTCATTCTGATACTTTTTTTATTTATCCAGTCAACAAATATTCAAACTTCTGCTCTGATCCCACATGTTGTTGTAGGTACTGTGGATATAGCAGCAAAGGAAGAGAGGAAAACCAAACCAGCACAGAGCTGTTGTGGTAAGAAGAAAAAAAAACTGGGGAACAGACCATGATGAGGAAGACAGAAGCTACGATTTCCAGGGGAGAAAATAGAGAATTTGGTAATCCTGACCTCAAGCCCTGACCTCAAGTTCAGTTCCACACCATCAACCTAAGTTAAAGGAAATTTAAATGTACAGGTTATCAAAAGGAAAGTTCTGCTTTTGAATTTTTGAAAATGGCATTAAAAAGAAGGGAGGTAAAGCTAACAGCGAGTTTGAAGGCTAAAAAGAGGCAATTCATTTTAAGAATATATGTTATATATTATTTATGTAACTAAGAGACATTTGTACTGTTTTAGAAAAATATTATAAACGAATGTTGGCTAAGGGGGGAGAAAATTCCTTATTTGGTGCTTTTTTTTTTCTTAAGCATTCAGTGTTTAGAAAAATTGTCTGACAGAAAAAATAATGTCAAGACAATACCTAAGCTTAAGGGAGGGAAACAAGTAAGGAGAAAGGAGAAAGGAGAAAGGAGAAAGGAGCCAGGGTCTGAACTGGGGTGTGTTACGCTCCCCCATGTTCATGCAAACTGCATGAAACAACTTTGCTTTCACAAATGGCAATGTGGGAGTCCCCCCAAGACTGTTTTTCACCCTTTATCTCTGTACCTCATGTAACCCACCACCATTAGACCTGTGACATGGAAAAAATGAGAGAAGAAATAAGAGCACATGGTTTCCTAAACCAAATGGTTTTGTTCATGATTTCCTGCCCATAAAATCTGATAGAACTTTAATATCAAGAGACAGATGAGTTAGACACAAGCAGAAAAGATTTAACAGGTAATGTAGGGGAGAAGTAGAGCAGCCATCATCATGCCAGCCAGAAGCTCTGTCTCCAATGGGGCACTACCCTCATTGATGGTGCCTGGTCCACCATAAGTCTCTTCTGACCATTCCCACAACTAAGTCCAGGAAATGCCAGTGTTACCTTCCTCACCAAGCTCCTGGGACTGTTGGTCATGACCTCTGTAACTAGACGCAAGCAGGCAGGTACTAACTTTAATAGGTGAAACAGTCCTTGCTCTAAGACAGCTAAGTTTAAAATAAGCCACAGAAAAATAGAATTACTATGTCACCCCTGGGTGTTACTTAATTCAAAAAGACTAAAAAGAAATCCAGCTGAATTGAACTGTGTAAGAGAACCAGCCGCTACTGTGGTACTCAAAGCTCTGTGGATGGGCAAAAACAGTATTGATTTAGAATATACTGACAAACCAGATTGAATAGAATATACTTATGATGATAAGTAGACAACTTAAAAACCAGAACTGAGAGCTAGAAAGTTGGGGTGGTAGAGTGCCGGCCTAGCAACCACACGACCCCAAGTTCAAACCATGGTCCTGACAAAAGCCAAAACCACACAAAAATACCACTGGCCTGGACACTTCAGGTGCTATGAGTGAAATAATTACACTTTCATTCAGAGGCTGGCAACTGAATGAGGAGTATTTCACATTTTTGGACTTACTAACATTCAACTTTAAAATATTGGCTTACTAAGAAAAAGTAATTTATTGGTCAGTTTCCTTTTAATATTGATTTCTACCCATATGCTTGTCAATAAAATCTAATTTTTTTTAAGGCAAGGGTTTTAACAAAGTGTATTTAGATACCTTTTACCTCTGCAAACCTGAGTAGGATGTTTCTAACAGCTTATTCCCAGTGGTTTTAAGATTCTGTAATATGGGGGAGAAGGAGCTGGAACTCAAATGAGAAAGAACAGAGCAAGATTCAAGGGAAGGCCAGACAGAGAGCACGGGACAAGTCTTATCTCATTTTTACAGATACACCTGGGGAAGTACCCTCACAGGCAGCCACCAACAGTGCACATCTTTGTAGCAAAGAGAAAGCAGTAACAACAACAAAAGATGCTCCGTATTTCCTTATGATGCTAACAAAAGCTAATTTAGGTCTTAATAACATTGTGTGCTCTACAACTTAAAGAGTCTGAAGCCAAATTTTACCTGTATTTTCATTTTCTTAATTTTTTTCTTAACACTGAGTTTTTAGATTGTTTATATTATGGAAAAATCATTTTAATAAAAAAATCTGTAATTTTACCTTCAGTAGAAATTCTTGTAGTTCTTGATGGGTTTTTGTTACTGTTGTGACTGAAAGATCAGACCAATTTACCTGATTTAAAAAAAACACATATTGCATGGTTATTGCTAGACAGGAACAGGCTTAAAAAAATAAAAGCCATGTGTAAGACAAAAACTTAAATTTTATTTAGAGTAACAATTATAAAGTTTACCTAACATTGTTATTTCTTCAGTTGTTTAATTGTACAGTAACAGTTTACTCAAAAAGTTTTCTAATGAATCCCTTTAAACTGCACATATTTTTAAAAAGCATTCCTATACTGTGACTACATTTTAGTTTTTCAGAAAATAATTTTTTAAAGTCTTACTTTTTTGCTTGGTAATATTATGACTCTAAAATGACAGTGTGGATCCAAGCCTCCAAAGATAAAGGTGCAAGCTCTTGAAACTTGTTAAATAGTATTCCTTTCATTAGGGAAAAAAACAGTACTGAGATTTGAACTCAAGGCCTGGATTTTGCTAAACAACTATTCTACCTATAACCCATGCCCCATTAGCCCTTTTTTCCTCTTTGTTATTGTTCAAATAGGGTCTTGTTTTGGCATGGGCCATGCCACATTGTGATCCTTCTATTTATGCTTCCCTGGGATAACAAGCATGTGCCACCATGGCCAGTCTTTTTGCGTGGTCTGGCCTTGAACTACATTCCTCCTGATCTCAATGCCCAAAGTAACCTCCAAGTACAGGTGTAAACCACCATACCTGGATAAATATAAATTCTTAGAAAAAATAGTGAGAATGTACTTCTCCTAAAAGAGGGTCTTACCATTTTATATATTTTTGGTTTCTTTAGAAATTTCATCTTTAAAATTTTAGCAAGATGCTTGGTGCAAGTATTACTTCTATATTGAGGTAGGAAAAAACTATACTCGAAAAATGGTTAACTGATTGTAGTGTGACTCTAATAAGCAGAAGAGCCAGAACTGGAACCTACACTGTGCTGCTCTACCTCCTGGACTTGGTTATGGACCATTAATAACATTTACTATAGACTTATTTGAGCTATGCTAATATATCTAGGCCGTACCAACTATTCATACTGTAATCATATGCTTAAAAACACATAGGAAATTTTATCCAGCAACGCTCTTTTGATTGTCTGGCACATTTCTCAAATAACTTTTAAATGCTCAAATGTTCATGGAGTAGGCACTGTTCTCCTGTGTCAGGAAATACAGGAATGGACAAGAAAGACAACTGTTACTTCCATTGTCCTAGTGCAGTCTAATGCCAGAGACAGGTAAAACCAAACCATCAGGAATTAGTGCTTTATAGGTAGCAAGTATGGAACAGAACATATATAACCACCGTGTCAAAAAGGTACTAGAAGGAAGCAGCATTTGTGCTCAACACTAACTGTGCTGTGCTCTAGGGCACAGGGTCAGTAAAGTCTTAAGGAACAAGCTTTGAGCAATAGCAGCCAAAGGAATGGCAAGCAAGCCTGAGCATTGAGGGCAAAGAGCAAAACATGCTTACAAGTGAGACATGGAGATTAGGAGTGAAAAACTAAAGATATTTCTACTTCTGAATAGAAGCCAGAGTTTTGATATTCATTCAATGTATGTACTGAGCAGGTGACACGGATGGGGAAGGCAGAGACTGAAGATGCCTGCTTTGACAAGAAGGTTTTGAAGGATTTTGAAAGATGACAAGGAGAGACCTTAGGAGGAGGAAACATTCTGTCAAGAGGTCCAGAAATGACTTCAGAAAAGAGGTATAGCTAAAATCTGGTGAAGCAGTAGAGAAATGTGGTCTTATTCCACATGACTTCAAGGTATGTATAGTACAACCTCAAGAAAAAGGGCTTGTCAATAATGCTTGGTCTGAGCTAAGAAAACAAAGTGTAAAATACACATCAGGATCTGAAGCCTGCAGAAATTTCATTTTTATATTTCTTACATTTCAGGTAATAGATATATTAGATCAAATAAAATATCAAAATGGGGGGGGGGGGAGAAGGAGAGAGGGAAAAGGTTTATCAGTGAAACTGAAGAAGAGAAGGGTCAAAAAGACGTGAGCAAGGAATGCACATCATGGTCAGCAGGTAAAAAGGAGGCCGGAAGAGTCTTTCCCCGGTCATAACAGAAGCAGAGCTGGGCTCTGGTTAATCAGGCAGCAGCAAGAGAGAGCAATTACAGATCAGAAGATGAGGCCACAAAGCAAGGACTAAAAACAGCACAGAAAAGAGAGAGAGAAAAAACAAACAAACAAAAAAAAACGGCACAGAGAAATAGAGGAAGAAGAATGTCAGCAAGAAAAATGCCAGAAAGACAAAGCCTATGATCAAATATTACAGTAAGTTGACAAGTATGAAAATACTTGCTTTTACTTTTTAAAGATATGTGCTTCATCTTAATTATTTTTCTATATCTAGGGCTCTTATTTCTCCTCTAATAAAATTGCTATAGTAATTTTAATGTGATAGGACTTCTTTTTAAAAAACTTGGCAAACTATGGTGCCATTCTTCAAACGGTACATTTCCTTCATTACAAACATGTTGCATACATACAGACACAGGAAAACATACATGTATATATATACACACATATGCCTTATATGTATATATATATGAGTGTGTGAATATGCATATGTTAATTCCCCCTTTAAATTCTCAAACTTGCCATAAGTTTCTTCAAAGATCGAAATCACTTAACATAGCAGGTGAGAGACCTTTTGTGGATGAGAATAGCTTACTTTGAATGTGTACTCCCAATATTTGTCAGCCCTTTTTCTCTGCACTCCTTTCAACATTATCTTCTCAATGTGTACAGCTGAAAGACAAAACATACATGCTGACTTGCACTATAGAGATAAGACACACACTTTGGTTATATAAGCTAATCCTATAATTTGACAAATGCTTAGGAATTAAGCTATTTCACTATTGGCCTTAAATGATAAAATAAAGCAAACTGAATTTAATATAGCAATATGACACTCACCCAAAAAGCTGCTTTTTCTATATGCAATGTACATGCTGAATGCCCAAGTATTGTCAAGCTCTTTACTAACACCAAACATAAACCATAGGACAAATAATAAAACATATGTGCTCTGAAGATAGTTTTCTAGAATATGACTTGACTTGACAGCTGTTTCTTTTCTACAAAAACAGTACTTTAGGCTAACTAAATGTAATTCCATTATTTATACATAGTGGATATAGGCAATAATATCTAGTTGTATATACTTAAAAAAGTCAAGTATTATAGTAAGTTGACAAAAATTCCAATTAATAGGTGAATTTTTCTCAAATGTGACCCTTAACATACAATAGTAAATTATAAAACAAACTGAACATTGTAATCAGGTATGAAGGTTTATTGTAAAAGAATTTTCCATAGATAAAAGAGTAGATACAAGTATCACCAAGTTAAAAACTAATTACTCTGAATTCAACTACATATTCATAAAGTAAGCAAATGTACAAATTCCCAGCTACTCACTTTACATTCAAGTATCACCAGAATAATTTTTTTTTTTCCTGTGCCATCTGTGGGGATTAAACTCCGAGCCTGGTTGCTGTCCCTCAGCTTCTGGGCTCAGGGTCACATAACTCCACTTCTGGCTTTTGGGTGGTTAACTGGAGATAAACAGACTTTCCTGCCTGGGCTAGCTTTGAGCCTCTGCTCTCAGCTAGGGTTACAGGCCCAAACCACCCACCAGTGGCCAGCATGGAAACAACAAAAATTTTAAAAGCCAGTGTGAAAACAGCTAGTCTATCAACTACACTGTAAGGACCTAAGAAAAACAGGCTGTTGATCGGGTTTGAAGAGAAGGATGAGGACCTGTTCTACAGCCAGGGAAGTGGCCCTGTAGGCTGACAGCAGTGAACACTTTATCCAAGCAGCAGAGAGGTTAGGAAAGTAACCAACAGAATGGTAAGTCATGGCTAGATTTAGGGAGCAGACAATGAGAAAGAAAATGTCAAGATTCATTTGGCTTTAGAAGGAGTTAAAATAGATTTAAAAAAAAACAACAGTAATAAACGGTAAAATTAACAGTGACAAAAAAGCACGGAGAAGAAAGATTGTTACATAACATAGAAGGTAGCAGTGAAAAAGCATGAAGCATATAACAGAAATATGCAGGAAAACAGGAGTGTCAAAGGAATAAAACACCAGTCTTTGTGTCAAAAAGTATTCAGTGGCCTGTTTTATGGCCATTTATTTCTTTTGTCAGCCAGAAATGGAAGCACAAGAAAATCTCAAAAGTCAAATGAAAAGCCTGTCACCTCAGAGGCCAAAGTGGGGATGGAAAGGTCTGCTCAGTCTAAAAATTGTTACAGTAAATGAAATAAAGAGTGATGCTATTAAATAAAAACTTACCTAACTAATTTATTGTGTTCAGAAATTAAGCAAGTCACCTTTGCAAATCAGTGGCCAGGGTTTTTTTGTGGGGGGTGGGAGGGATATATTTCAGTTTAGCTTAGCAGAAAAGGCCATGATGACATTACAGGACATGGAAGCAGGGCTGGCTACAGCTTCAGCCTGGACTTCCAGTGAGAATGTGCTGCTATTTCCCACACTAGTTAGGAGAATACAGGAAGGAGAACCTTCCCCTCTCCTAAATTAAAGCTAAACTGCATGTCTTACACACTCGGCAAAAAGTTATGAATGTTAAGAAAAAATATTTATAGTACTAAGTTAAAGTTAACCTTAGCATCTTTATTTAGTCCTTATGCTTTCTAGAATATTTTTATTTGTAAAACAAAAGAAGCTTTAATCTAAAACCAAACTCTGTTTTAAATTACTTGTTTGACAAGCACTGTGAAGTATCTATGATTAAAGTAGCATAGCTGTTGTGACAGGAGTGGAAGAAATGATAACCTTTTTTCTCAATAAACATTCAGACCGGTTTTTCCTCTAAGGAGAAATATATAACACAAGAATGATTATTATAGGGACTAAATGAAGACATACTGATGTAATTCTAAGTTATTCTAACAGAATACGTCTTTTCTCCTACAGCCTGTATTTTCTGTTTCTGCTTTTCTTTCAGTACCAGCTAATGGACTCCCCAAATGCAAAGGGAGAGAAAGCTCCAAGCTCATGTCTTTTTAGATGGCAAAGTTCTTTCATTCCTCAACCCCAACCCTATTAAGAAATGCATTATTTAATTTGTGGAGGGGAAGGGGAAAAACAAATTGTTTAAATAGGGATACAGGTGGACCCATTGCAACAATGAGATATACAAGTCGTTATGTCAAAAACGAACTTTACAACTTTGGTGCGGGGAGGGGGGAGGATTGGCTGGGGGGGGCGGGGGGGGGGGGGAGGATGGGATTGGAAGGGGAAACAAAGGAGGAGGCTACAATGCTTGATAAGAAATGTACTCATTATCTTGCCCATGTAATTGTAACCCCTCTATACAGTATTTTCACAATAAAAAAAGAAATGCATTATTGCAGGAAAAATGGATTAGCCAGCTATTTATTCACTCTCTTACAGCAGACTTTGAAAAGATTTATTTTTTCAGTAGTTACTGAGCACATTTTATAGATAAAACATTATTTTAAATACATTGAAAATATGATAAAGTCTTCATCCTCTGGAAACACATGACCAGGTTTAAGATAGAGAAGCAAAAAGACAACTGTCTCTGAGATCGGACAGATGCATCTGTGCTGAGACAGGGCCAGAGTACAGATAGTACCTAGAGCACTGGCTGTGCAGCAGAATCTAGAACCAGTGGTTTTCTCTAAGAAGTGTAAGCAGTACCCTGCTTTAAGTTCACAATAAATGTTAACATACCTTCTTGCTGAGCTCTGTGAGGGGCCACAGTCAGTCCATTCTGAGGTACTGGGGCTTGTTCTATGAAACCTGTCTCACTTCTTTGCATGAAATCATCATGAACGAAGGCATTCTAGGGGATAAAGAAGGGCCTGCATTAATCCACACCACGAGACAATAAATCCCACAAATATAAACCACAATGGTTATAATAATGATCCTAATAGCAATGTTTAGGGACCAAATAAGTGTCACAACCACAAGTAAAAGACTAGCTAATGTTTATTTGCATTCAACAGTAATATTTTAGCTATTTTTTTAACCATACGGTTGTCTTAGAACACTCAAAAAAAGCATGTTGCTATTCAGAGTTGCTAGTGAGGTCAATTCTAAAGAATAGTGCACCAAAATCAAAGGGACATATAATAAATGGTACACTACACTTCATTCTAATCCCCCCAAATAAGGATATTTATGCTTTTTTTGTCAGTGTTGGGGCTTGAACTCTGGGCCTGGGCACTATTCCTCAGCTCTTCAGCTCAAGGCTAGCTCTCTACCACTTGAGCTACAGTGCCACTTCTGGTTTTCTGGTGGTTTATTGGAGATAAGAGTTTCACGGACTTTCCCGCCCAGGCTGGCTTTGAACTGCGATTCTCAGATCTCAGCCTCCTGAGTAGCTAGGATTACAGGTGTGAGCCACTAGTACCTGGCTGGATATTTATACTCTTATCTTATTGCATAATTATCATTCATTCCTTTGGTTTGGAGACAGCCTAAAAGGATTACTTTGTTAGGAAAATCTCTCTAAACTGTTTGAGCAGTGAGTTTATTATTAAAGGCAAGACATTTAACAACTGGGTATTCTAATTTTGACTGGATTTGACTAATCTTTAATCAACTTTACAAATTTATGCTTTGAGGATCAGATCATGCATGTCTTAGAATTTTCAAGAATTAAAGAATGAAAGCAGCGTAATGTTATATGTTATTATTATCAAACTAGTTAAGCTGAAAAAGAAAACAGTCCTGTATCACACCTCACCCCTTATCTTCACCCTTTCTGCTCAGAACTTCAATATATTACTCATATCAAAATCAGCTCAACTTTCAAGAACCAACTGCAATTTTACAAAACTACACTTAATAACATATACCCATTTTTAAATTGTGTAAATGACACAAACAAAGGACCTTAAACTTCCCAAAGACGTCGGTCCACTTAAGATATTTCTCCTGTTCTCCTGTCCAATCTTGCATACTGGTTGGATGATGAACAGTATGGAAAGCCTGATCACAAGACTACTTGTAGAAATAAACTACCACACTGGATATTCATGGGAGCTCAGCTTCAGCCTTATAATCTTCTAGAAACTCAAGAAATAAAGATTGTCTACAAAGAATCATTTAATGAGTACCCAGACCTTACCAGTCAATGTCCAGTTTCTGAGACATTTAACCTGATGGCCAATGTCTACAATCACAACAATCACAGCACTCTGGAGGCTGAGACAGGGGTACCAGAAGCTAGAGGCCAGCTGGGCTACACAGAGAGACCCTGTCTAGCCCTCCTCAAGAAAAAAATTTAAAAAGTAGATAAAAACTCATTTAACAATAACCAAGTCACATACACTTGAACCCAGACCATGCCATGTTTTCTCACAAGGTAGTTAAGATCACATTTTCCTAAGAGAGTCTTCTTTTCAAAACTGTCACACTGCTATAATTACTCCAAATAACAGCTGAAATATGGGGGATAGGGCGGTAAACTCAGTGGAAGAGTGCCAGCATTCTCTCCCTATTTTTTTTTTTTTTTTTGTGGAAAGGGAAGGAGGGGAAGAAAGGGAGATACAATCCTCTCAAATAGTTGTGTTAACTGGAGCTCCAATCATTTCTTATAGTAGAATATACCTATGTGGGGACCAATACTAGGGCTTGAACTCAGGGCCTTGTGTTCTCGCCCAGTTTTTTCACTCACAGCTGTTGCTCTACCACTTGAGCCTATCTCCTGTCTGGCTAATTAATTACAGAGGGCGGCTTACAGGCTGTCTTTGCTCAGGCTTCCTTCAAACCAGGAACCTCCCTGTCTCAACTATCCAAGTACCTACAATTACAGGGGTGTGCCATTAGCACGTGGCTCTAAAGAGTATTTTTCTACATTTTGACATGTGGTTCATAAATGTAAAATTATACTATTAAAAATAATGAAGCAAAATATACAAAAATAACAGTTCCATTAGAGAAATGCAAATCAAACCCACAATGATACCACTTTACACCTAATGGGTGTGAAGAAAAAACAGAAAAGAGAGCCAGTGAAGACATGAACTGAACACTACTGAACTGTACACTCAAAAAGATTCAAGTGGTTGGGCTGGGAAGGTAACTCAGCGGTAGAGTTGCATGCCTTGCAAGCATGAGGCCCTGGGTTCGATTTCTCAGCACCACATAAACAGAAAAAGCCGGAAGTGGCGCTGTGGCTCCAGTGGTAGAGTGCTAGCCTTGAGCTGAATAGCTGAGGGACAGCACCCAGGCCCAGAGTTCAGGCACCATGACCGGCAAAAAAAAAAAAAAAAAATCACACAAAAAGATTCAAGTGGCAAATTTTGTTATACATATCTTAAAATAGTAAAATAATCATCCTGCCTCCACAAATATTCTAAATACTAAAGTAAACAGGAGAAAAGTTTACTTCACAATCAAAATCACAGTTTTCGTTTGAAGTTAAGAACTTTAAGAAAACAATTTGCATGAAATGCGGAACATGTATGTAATCCTAGTTATTCTGGAGGCAGGAGGATCACAAGCTCAAGTCCAGCCTGAGAATTTACCAAGATTCCGTCTCTATGTGAAGTCAACATGGCCTGAGAGTGTTATTCAATGGCACAGCATGTAGGAGACTCTGGTTTAGCTCCCAGTACACTAAAAGTGTGCGTGTGTGAAGGGGGCGTAGAAGAACACAATTTAACAGTGAAGGAAAAAACTCCTATTTAATGAGAGGGAGAAAAATAAAGTTTGAGTTTCTATCTAAGAAACAGTCAATAAACTGGTAAAATATCTACTGACATTTACATAGGGATACAGGTGGACCCATTGCAACAATGAGAAGTACAAGTCGTTATGTCAAAAACGAACTAACAACTTTGGTGGGGGGGGGGGGGGGAGGATTGGGTGGGGGAGGATGGGAAGGGATGGGAAGGGGAAACAAAGGAGGAGGCTACAATGCTTGATAAGAAATGTACTCATTATCTTGCCCATGTAATTGTAACCCCTCTGTACAGTATTTTCACAATAAAAAAAATAAAAATAAAATCATAAAAAAATCTACTGATTTTTTTCTTATTGTCCTAAGTCTCAGTAGGTACTAATACTGTTAAATCAGGCTAAATTTAGAAGCAATTTACACAGGTCACACAGAGGTCCAGAGACCAGAATTATGCCATTTACTAGCCACAATTATTAGTAACACTGTCTCCCCTTTTACATGTTACATAACATGACATTCAATAGAGGGAAGTGTGCCGTAAAACCTGAGAACTACTACTAAGGAATTGTACAGAGGGGAATCACACCCTCTTTCTCGGTTAAGTTTGAATTTCCATCTCTGGGAATTCCATTCCTTGGAATGCCAAGGAGTATTTAAAGAATTATTTATTGCCTTTCTGTTTAACCAAGAGGCAAAAGTTGGATTAATCTCTACTCAATGAAATAGTACAACTTAATTCAAGGTAATACTTTGAGAATCATCCCCATGGCATCTGATAAAAGGCAACTTTTGGACTGTAAATAAATATGCATGGTAATTACTAAAACTGTACTGAAACAACAAAACTGACACAGCAGTGCAAAGGAGACCAACGAATCAATAGCCCAGAAACAGCACAAAGCGGATTTCTGCTGTGCTGATAGGCTCCTGATGTAGAAAACTAGAAAGGTGGTTGATAAGGTGAGTCAGCAAAGTGCAACAGAATTAGCCACCTTTTGGGGGCAAATATAATCTAGCTATTGAATGGGGAGTGGAAGGGTCATTTAGTGAGCCTGTGTGCACTCCATCATCACAGTCAACAGATCAGACTGGGCCACTACGGCAAGGAAGCCACAGTAATAGAAACCATGCAAGGTTTTCTGGGCATGGTTAGCTAAGCAGAACTTGACAGATGAAATAAGATGGAACAGCAAGAATCATACTCTTTTGGAACTCTACGTACTTATTAACTGAAAAATTAAAACTGTCTTTTTTTTTTAAGAAACTGAACTTGCAGATTCATTTACATTAAGGAAGATCTAGTAAATAATGAGATCAGAAGCTTTCCAGGCAGGAGTGGAAGAGAGTAAAGAGAAGCAATAGCAGCTTTAGCTTTCCTTGTAAAGCTCTCGCAGCTTCTGCTACTTCAACCTAAATAGTGCTATCTTCTAGTTGGCACGTGAGTGGTGAAAAATATAGACTGTACTAGACCACAAAAGGACAAAGGTACAGGATCCAGAGAGGGTAGCTTTTTTTTTTCTAAAGCATGGCTTTAGAGCCCAGACCAATGCTGGAGCCTGTTCTTCAGCACTAGACTTGGGTGTCCTTTTCCTTCTGCCCCCTTCAGAAGAGAAAAGTTCTCTTTCTGCGTAGAAATGAGGAGGTAGAACCAGGAAACTGCTACCTATATACCTGGGCAAGTTATTGTCAACAAGAAGTGAGCTGGCTGATGGTGCGAGAACCATACATTGCTAGGTCCACTAGCACCTCTAGCAGAACTAGCCTTCAGAACAGAAAGTCTTTGAACTACTCACAAATTTAGGTTTTACAGCGTTTAAGAGAGACCCTTGACAGTAAGTAATGTATACATTAGTAAGCACTTGCAGGGCTGGCAACAACTGGCCTGGGAACACATAAGGTCTTCAAAACCATGTTACATAATGGATAAGAGGGAAGCCATAGCCACGTGCTTCCCATCAGCTTCCCCTGACCTGTATTGATGTTTTTGTATGCCCACGAATGATGCTATAAATATCCAAATGGACCCTTGGCAGAAAAAAGCTTCCCACGTGATAGTATCAGGTAACACTATGGTAGGGTAGGATTTGGCACTCATGGCACCTATTAGAATAGGCACTTTATAAGCTAACCAAACCATTCCTCCAAACCAA